AATTACAAAAGACTTAACTAAACATGATCACTATGGAACCGACAATTATCTATGCTAGTGGGCTACGCCCCATCCTAGCTGTGATCACCTCTCTGGCCACTTTCGCTTTCATGGCCAGAGAGTATGAGAGTGTGATTATGTCATTCTGTCACTTGGCAGGAAAACCTTTTTGAAAGAGAGAGAGAGAGAGAGAGATTATACCATTTACATTTTTAAAACTAATAATGGTTAGTCATAATCCCCAACATTCTTGTCAGAATACAATCAAGCCATTAAAGTAAGTCCTTAAGAAACAAATACCATACAAAATGTTACTACTTATTGCACCTGAGAAAATCATGTTAAGCCTGATAATCAAATTATTAAAATGAGGTAGAAAATGTAATTTGGGGGGAGCTAAATTTGAGGTGTTTGATCAAGGGAAATTTAGCTAAATTCTGTAACTTTTTATGTCATTTTGATTGATTTAACTACTATTAATAGTTAACACAAGACTATTTACAGTGCAGTTATTTAAGATTTCCTTTTTAAAGTATGTGAATGTTTGCTTATTTACACGTTACTATAAAAGAGAGAACTTTATAGCAGGGGTAGCCAACCCGTGGCTCACAAGCCACATGAGGCTCTTCTCCCCTGAAAGTGCAGCTTGCGAAGCCACTTCTGTGCCCCCCTTACAACCCTGCCGGCTCCCCTGTGCTCACAGGGAAAATGGCGCCCAAGCCTAAGCTTGTTTCTTAAAGGGGCAGCCTCCTTTTTTTTCTTGACAATTATGGGGGGCTTTCCTTTTTTTTTTCCTCAACAATTCTGGTGCGGCTCTTCACATTTTTTCTGCTGCTGTTTCAGCTCTCTTTGTTAAATGGGTTGGCCACCACTGCTTTATAGAACAATGGCTAAATTCACCATGGTTCTAAGCAGACATGGATACCTGCCCACATGGATATGTAAGGTCTGATCCAAAGCCAACTGGAGTTAATGGAAAGATTACCATTGACTTCAATAGGCTTTGGATTGGGTTCTTGCTAAAGCCTCAACAGTAGACATTCTCCCAAGGTGCAGGAGGTTGGAGAAAACACCTATGATCTCCCTTGAATGGGACAGCTGTATAAAACCAGTATTTCCAAAAAATGGACACAATTGATTGGAAAACATGCATGGCAGCATCAGCTAGGACCATACGTTTAGTTAGTCGATCAGCCTCTGCTAATGGAGCTGATAGATCAGTATAAAGTTCTCCTCACATGGCAGAAATATAAGGAGGAGCAATATCATTGCCTACCTTACTCCAAGAATAAATCTGAGCCTTCCCGTGCTGAGGACTTCATCAGTCCAATATGGCGCTCAGATTGATATTTATCTGCAGAATATGAACACAGCAAAAAAGTTTCAGTCTCATCCAAGGCCCTGAACCCTTAGTGGAAGATGCCAATCATATGAACAAAGGTGTCTTATTTTATTAATTCCATTCCAGATTACTCTGGGTGCATATCTGCAATCATCTCATCACCAAAACATTCAGTTGGTTTTGTGGAGCAGACTACTTTTAAATCAGATGCTGCACACATATGTTCTGCAACAATTAATTTTTGTTGTTAATTTTTGCTTTTGTATTAAGTGACTGGACTGTAAATCACCTTCTAGAGATAAGTGTGCAGATCTGTGGCAGAATTTTGTCTCTATTAGAAAAAAATGGACTGTAAAATCTACTGAGAAGCATTAACTCAGTATTGGAATACTTCAGATACTGGCTCAAAGAGTGAGTTTATAAAAATCTTGTTGATATGTTTAACAAATATATAAATGCCATGTTAGGATTTTGAAGCCAACTGTGCTTGACTTAAAATCAGTCTCGCATCATGATGAGGACATCATGTGTTATGAATTGATTTTAAAATTACAGTAGCAAAAATCAGGAGTTATTAATTATTGTCCTTGTATTTTACATGCAGTTAACTGGCAAAACATTTGGAAGGGACAGACATAATTTTATGCCACCTTGGTTTTAACTGACTCAAAAGGAAAATTGCTGATAAGCTACATAGTCAAAATGATCAATGAATATAATTCTGAATGAAAGGCTGGATGATGGCTTCAGGGTCAAATATGTACATACCACTTAATTATAAGTCATCTACAAACTGTAGTTAAAATTAAAGGAACACAAATATTGTTTTGCACTGAACTCAGTAACAATTCTTTATCTAAGTACTGAACCAAATGTAATGTACACAATGAAGTTCCCATAGAAATATTATACATAGGATTAACTTGATTTTGTCTGAATGTTTTGCCAATTTGTATGTCTGCATTAACAGCCAGTTGAATTGAAAATGCAGTGATTGCTAATGATGGAGCTGTTTTTTAAGAGTGTCTACATTGCAGGGCTTAACTCAAAATAAGCTATGCAAATTGAGCTATGTCAAGTGTGTAGCTTATTTTGATATAGGCTATTTGAAAATTGGGAGTGTCTACACAGCACTTATTTCAAAATAGAGCTTTCTTCCTTTGACTTCCCTTACTCCTTGTACAATGAGGGTTACAGAAGTCAGAGTAAGAAGTCCTCCAGCTTGACAGTATTTTGACATTATTTCAAAATAACTGCTTACTGTGTAGATGCAAACTTGTTATTTTCAAATAATGTTTCTGTGTAGATGTACCCTAATAAAAGAGGGGGGAAAATCATACCTCTAAAGGAGAGATGGGATTAGCTTCAAAGTGGAGTTCAGATTGAAGTCTCCAGATTGAATTTACTTCTAGAAGGAGCTAAATTTAATATCTTCAAGTTTGGGAAGTTCAAATCTTGATCCAGATTTTGACCCACAAATTCAGGAGAATTTGGATACTTGATTTTTGGCCAATCCATTTTGGAAACATGAAGTTTAGGCCCAGGGTTCACCACTGGGCCTAGCTCTACTTCAAATCACCTCTTACTTCTCCTAAAAAACTAATCATCAAAACCATAACCATGTAAAGCTTTTCAGGATTAATAAAGGTGTGGTGAATAAAATGAAGATACTCATTGAAAACTTTCTGGGAAATCAGTCCAGCCCTGCAGTCAGATGGGATGTGTCTAGACTACATAGCTCCATCAACGGAGTCATGTAGATGAGTTTACTAGACATAGGAAAATGAAGCAGTGATTTAAATAATCGCCGCTTCATTTACATCAAAATGGCCGCTGCGCTGTGCCGATCAGCTGTTTGGCAGCACAGCGCAGTAGTCTGGATGCGCCATGGTTGACAAGGGAAGGCTTTGTTGACCACCCCAGTATGCCTCGTGAAATGGCTCCATCAACAGAGTCATGTGGTCTAGACATACCCTTATTGGGTAAAATCATTTCCTATACAATTCAGATAACTAGACAAGGGAGTTGAAGAAAGGGACATAAATACCAAGATCTCTTATTCCCATATATTCTATAGAAAATCTGCTAGAATTGTATGGGAAGAAAACCAAGAGGGTTCTATAGAAATTAGTCTGAGAACCTACATGATTTCATAAGGAAATATGTCCTCTAGCACTCTATAGAAGACATCATTCTCTGTTTAGTATTACAGGACAGATCCAAAGGGTATATAGAAAACGGTCCTCAGGTCCTACTGCAAAGGAGCCAAATAAGGGTACATCCACTCAGGTAAACAGATAATTTTCTATTAAACTCCATAGGGATCTATTCAAGCAGCTAGATTATGTAATTCTAGCAAGAGGGTTGGGGCGAAGTATCACATAGAGCTGGCAACTTGTGCAAACTGGGGATACACACTGCAGCTTTTTGTAGTAGCATTAAAATGGACACTGCAACATTTTTGCTCCTGCCACTTCTTTGACTCCTTCAGCTAAGGCCATGACCCTTTATTGATGCATCAGATTGCATTGAAGTCAATGGGATATTTGTGTCTGAAGAGCCTGCAGGTCAGGTATGAATCACAACACTTCATGTCAACCGAAGGACGTGTGAAGCTGCTAGCTTCACTATGAAAGTTGTTAGATAGGCTGATGATGAGGTACAAGCTAGACTGTGAACTTCAGCGCATAACTTTCATAACCATTGCTAATGAGAGCTGTGTGTGATTTTCCCCTCTCTCCTTTGTATTCTTCCATCTTTCATGGAGATTCTGTGCCAGCGTCCTCATTCATTCAGTCTGCAATATATTCTGATTGTGTGATTCGCTTGTGAGGGCTGAAGAATTTATGGAGCTTCTTTTAAGAATCTTGTTTATTATGTCCTTCCATGTCTTCTTGTACTGATGTCGTAATAAAGAGTACACAAAAGGGTCTGAAACAGCTTTGCTGTAAGCCAAGCACTTGGAAATGATTCCCCAGTGGGAACTGATGGGGACTATAGATGATAACTCTACCAGTCTGTCAAGAAACAGGGGGAAAAGTGTTACTTAGAGAGAGACATAACAGGACAGATGGAGAAACAGGGGGAAAAAGTGTTACTTAGAGAGAGACATAACAGGAAAGATGGAAACAGAACAAAGTCCTAGTGGTACACCAGTTAGCTCTGGGAGGGGAATTTGCTCTGTATTGACAAAGTCCTAGTGGTACACCAGTTAGCTCTGGGGAATTTGCTCTGTATTTTTCAGTTCTTACAATAGAGCAGAACAAGAGCTACAATTTTAACATAGCACATTGGTTCTACACAGAGCTGCTTTAGTATAAGTGGAAGTGACATGCGTACCCTCTTGTACAAATTATAACTGGATGACTAATTGTGCGCCCAAGTACCAGCAGTATTGTTAAGTGGTTCTTTATAGTGGAAATCACCTTCCCTCAGATGGTCATAGACAGCGGCTTTCTTGGAATCTTGAAGCTACTGAAAGATAGCATCAAGAAGAGAGAAAAAAACCCCATGAGCCCAACTCCCCAAGATCTTTAAACTAAATGCAAGAGGCCAAATGTCAGGTCTTTCTCAGTCAAGTCTCCATTTACTGGAGTCTAACATCCTGAGGAATCATCTCTGGATCTGATCTGAGATGAAATAGTCACTATGTTGGGCCACATGCTGCCCAGCTGTAAACAGTTGCAGTCCACTGGCTTCAGTGAAGTTGCATCCTCGTGGAGCAAGGTTACATTTACTGTTCAAGCTTCCTTTTTGAAAATATTGTGTAAACATAACTTTACTTTTTTGACCTCTTCTGTATCCTTTCTAGTAACAATGAGCAAACAAAGGTGGTATTTCCCATTCAGCGTGGGTCTCACATTGAGCATTTAGGGACCTCCCACAAGTTTTATGATACATAACATATATTCAACAATTATTCTTTGATTCTCCAGATCATATTCCAGCTGTATACCCCTCCTGATACATGTATATTGATTTCTTTGATCTCTACTGGCATACTATCCTTATAAGATCTTGCTCTAGTAAAGGAAACCATGAATTTACCCTTGGGTTTCTTCACAAATTATTTTTAGATAGTGATATGTCATCAGGTTCATGTTTGTTATTGGTTTTGCTTAGTCACAGACCCTACAAAATTGTAAGGGGGATGAAATGAATACAATCTGCACTGAAAAATTTCTATTAAATATCACACTATCATCACACTAATTAAATGACTTGTGCATAACAAATTAATCTCAACTCTTACAAGATGCTTTTTCCAAACTGACCAGTATACTTTTCTAAACAGTGTCATAAACTTTAATCCAAACAGAAGGGAAAAGAGTTTCTCATATTAGTTACCTCATTTTGTGCTGAATCAAATACAGATACTTCACTTTGTGATTTCAGGAAATGTTGACAAGACAATATTGAATATTCTGCAAGCTTCTCTCGTGCATTGTCATGAGAAGCAAGCACTGAAAGGCAGTTCTGCTCAATGCGTGTCCAAAATTGTTGAACAACATTTTTTTTCCAGATCAGTGTTTCAAAAGACTGCTAATTGAGATTAAAATGCTCTAATCTACACTGGGAAATTAAATCTTTACTGAAAACAGTTTTCAGCAGCAGGTCCCCCTAAACATGTATGACAAATGGATTTATTGCTAGTGTTCCTGCAAGGAAAAAAATGTCAGTATTGTTTCAGTGAGCATGGCTGAGGCATAGTTTTAGAAGCAGTATTAAGAGTAGCTTTGTCTTACTCAATCATCTTACAAATGTGTGAGTCTTCTCCCTTGATTTAATAATTTCATGTTCACTTCCTCTCTCAATCATGCTTTTTGCAAGAAAATGGAGAGGCAGCAATGTCCAGAGGTTAGGGCACAGGACTGGGACTAAGGAGACTGGGTTCCTTAATTGGCTCTTCCACTGAGCTTCAGCAACTCACTTAACCTCTCTGGCTACGTCTACACTGGCCCCTTCTTCGGAAGGGGCATGCTAATTTTGAAAGTGGGAATAGGGAAATCCGCGGGGGATTTAAATATCCCCCGTGGGATTTAAATAAACATGTCCGCCGCTTTTTTTCCGGCTTGGGGAAAAGCCGGAAAAAAGCGTCTAGACTGACCCGATCCTCGGGAATAAAGCCCTATGGCTTTAAAGTAGGAATAAGAGATTCCTCTGGAATAAAGCCCTATTCAAAGTAGGAATAAGAGATCCTCCGGAATAGGGCTTTATTCCGGAGGATCGGGCCAGTCTAGACGCTTTTTTCCGGCTTTTCCCCAAGCCGGAAAAAAAGCGGCGGACATGTTTATTTAAATCCCACGGGGGATATTTAAATCCCCCGCGGATTTCCCTATTCCCACTTTCAAAATTAGCATGCCCCTTCCGAAGAAGGGGCCAGTGTAGATGTAGCCTACGTGTTTCCCTTTCCCTTTCCACCCTTTGATTGTCCTGTCTACTTAGACTATAAACTCTTTGGCACAGAAATTATCTCTTTTTATGTCCTGGTTTGCACTACAAAATCCACACCTCTAAGTGATGTAATTATACTGTCCTATCCCCTGATGTAGACAGTGATCACTAGAATTTGTCCTGTTGACATAGCTACCGTCTCTTGGGGAAGAGGAGTATTTATGCCAACAGGAAAACCTTTGGGTAGGCTTCTTTACTAAGCACCACAGAGGCATCACTGCAGTGTTGTATAGAGAAGCCCTTTGTGTTTGTACAGCACCTGGTTCGGAATCATAGAAATATAGGGATTGAAGGGACTTTGAGAGGTCATCTATTCTAGTTCTCCGTGCTTATGCAAGACCAAGTATACCTAGACCATCCTCAACAGATGTGTTTAACCTGTTCTTAAAAGCCTTAAATAACAGGGATTCTACAATGTCATTGGAAGCCTAACCTAAGCCAAGAGAGCTCAACTACCTTTATAGGTAGAAAGATTTTTCTAATATATAATCTCAACCTCCCATGCTAGAGATCAATTCCATTACGGCTGCTACCTTCCGGGGAAATGGAGAACGATTGATCACTATCCTCATTATAACAGCCCTTAGTGTATTTGAAGACTATTATCTGGTCCCTTCTCCATCTTCTTTCCTCAGTGTTAAACTTGGCCAGAATTTATAACCTTTCCTCATATGTCAGATTTTCTAAACCTTCACTCCTATGTGTTGTGCTCCTCTGGACACTTTCCCTAAAGTGTGCTGCTCAGATCAGAAGATACTTCTTCAGCTGAGGCCTCACCAGTGCCAAGTACACAGGGCAATTACCTCCAATGTCTTAT